TCCAGACCGCTGAAAATTTATTGTGATAACACCGCAGCTGTCTTCTTTACTGAAAATGATAAGTATTCCAATGGCATTAAGCATATGAAGCTGAAATATCTTACCGTTAAAGAAGAAGTTCAGAAACAACGAGTGTCTTTTGAAAATATAAGCACACAACTTATGGTTACAGATCCATTAATAAAAGGATTACCGCCCAAGACATTCATAGGACATGTTGAAAGAATGGGTCTTGAATGTAATCAAAGTTAACTATTATTTTTGTTATGGATTGCTTAACAATGCTTATATATATTTGACATTTTGAGCTCATTAAAATGTGTTTATGTTATTTCCTGTTAATTTATGTATGTACATGCATGTATTACTTTAAATGATGAAAACATGAATAGTCTTAGAAAAGATATTATTACTAGACCTTTATTATTTCTTCTCACTTATAGACCATGTTAAATGGGTTACTAGTGTTGCAGTACATAGAAGGGACTATGTCATTTAGTGATATACAACCGCCATGACTCACATTTGTAGTTTGTTTACCATGGTATTTATGATGACCATATTAATATCTTAATTTGATTTATGGTGCACACTAATGACTATTTTACTAAACCACTACAAAAGTTATTATATGTGCCAAGTAGGAGAATGTAAGATTATTTATTTAATTGTGACTAACATGATTTGGACATGTGACATATTACTTGGTGACTAAGTAAATAGATATCAATTAATTATTCTTGATCAACTTATAATTACCTTTTTGGTAATTACTTATTGGAGAAGTGTTTTCCTTCTAATTCCTTACTTTGATGGAAAGTAGAATTATGTTATTAAAAGGAAAACTGGTCCCCTCTCTGCCTTTATAAAAGTGCATATACTCCATCAATTATGTACGATTATTGATACAACACATAATAGTTTTATGTGTGCAAAAGGCTAAGAGAGAGAAACCAGTTTCCACCTTTAGCTGTTGATCAGAGTTGCAGATTAGTTCGTGGTTAAAGGATTTAGACGTTGGACCTAATCTCAACAAGGTTTGATATCATGAATCGAGGAATATATATCTAACTATATATATTTATGCGTTATGAGGAAGTGAAATTAATTGAAATTCTAAGATCTATGGATTTATAATTATTTGTGATTAATATTTAACACAAATTAAATATGGTTTTACATGGCTGGCTGTGGAAAATTCCAAAAATGTAAAAGCATTCCTGAGAATAAAGAGTAAATTGTTCCAAATACACCACTGATGTCAATTCAAACAATTGATGCCAAAGTCCCTCTTAACGACCAACTCCAACAATTGAATAGATATTATTTTAGGTTTGCATTATTTGAACGCTACATTTATATATATATACGTATTCTATAATTGTAATGTTTATTTCATTTCAGTTTTCATTTTGTTGCCATAGAAGTTATGCCCATAACATTCATTGAAGTACCTTTTCCCCCTTCCGTTCACCATTGTCAATATGATGCTCCATGTTTTGATATCCTTGTAAGATTTAGTATAGATTCTCAATGCTGTATTTAAAATAATTATTGATGCTAAAAAAACACATAGACATATAGGCATTTGAATTCCTTGTACATAATCTTTAAACATCATAAATACAATTAAAGAAAAGAACATGCACAAAGTTCACATAATATAATTTCAAAGCGCCATAGTTACACATCACATATTAGTTAATCAGTGTAAATTCACATCATAAAGATCTGAAAGAAGCTTTCTTGAAGAAGTTTCTTCCTTCATAAAACCATTCCTATTACTTTGGATAGAAATGGAGGAATCAATCCACAGCCCATCCATTGATATGCTCTTCTGCACCAGACTGTCCTGAGAGAATGACGAAACGTGCGTCTGGCTGTCCTGTGACAGCTTCTCAAAGACTTTAAACCTCAAGTCCTCATTCTCTGAACTACGCTTCACTATCGATCGGCGCTTGGACTGGGCTATTGCCCCTCAAGCATACTCACCACAGAAGACATGGATGGTCTAAGGGTGGGAGATGGGTTGGTGCATAAAAGAGACAAGTTTAAAATCCTCAGTGCGCGCCTCTTCTTTTGAGTAGTTTGAACCGAGACTCAGATCCACAAGTTCTAAAAGGTTTCCCTGCTCTTGCAGACATAAGCCTGCAATGCCAAGGAGAAACAAACACAACTTTAATTATCCTATGCAACCTCCAACTGAGTAACTATAAAACATGAAGTACTCATAAAATTAAGTAGATATGTAAAAGAAATAAACAAAAGCATTTCCATCATAAAGCTATTCAGAATGAAAAAAAATCTCGTTTTTCTTTTCTAAAAACATATATTTTCTTTTGGATTTTGATGAAACTTCATCTTCGCATCACTCAGACCAACAAAAGTCAGTTAAATGTAGGATATGCATTTGAATTTAGTATACTATTCTCATTCAACCAGAATCTGACTCAATTATCAATTTCCTTTATGCCAATTTTCATCACAACCAAAAAAAAAAAAAAAACTGTCTGTCATCATTCAAGAAACAAAATCATTTTGAAATATCGTGGTCATGTGAGATTGAACAGTTTATAAAAGTTTTTCCACTGAATTTAATTTAAGTTTTGATTTAAGCACTTTTATTAAAAATCTAAAGAGAATCATTATATTTCTAGCCTTTTCATCTGAAGACATTTAAGAATTGGAGAAACAAGAGCAAGCTCTAGAAGTGTAAACCGAAAGGGCTAGCTACAGGAGGCTCCTGCCATTGCGAGGTTTGGAAAGGGACAGATGTGTGCAGCCTTACTTCCGCATGGGTATAGGCTGTTTGCAGTTTTGAACCTCTAACCTTTAAGTCACAATGTAGCAACCGGCCTGCCCATAGAAATATAAACCAAAAGACTCGAAAGAGGAGAACTCCAAAAAGAAAGCTTACCCAATCAAGAAGGTAAACAAACTCCTCCTTTGGCCTGTCATTTGTATTGCTTTCCCCACTGACAATCTCTAATAAAACGATTCCAAAGCTATAAATATCTATTTTGTCTGTCAAATAACCTTTCAATGCATATTCAGGAGCCATGTATCCTCTGAAAAATAAAAAATCGAAAGTGCATGAAAAATGGAGCAGTTAATAAGGTATGAATAGATGCAAAGAACAATATAGAAGGCGGAAAAGTGATGGATATAAACTCACATTGTTCCAGCAATTCTAGTGCTGATCGGTATGGGTGTTCTCTTCTTCATCAAGTTTGGCCAAACTAAAGTCAGATATCTTAGCATTCAGATCCTTATCAAGCAACACATTGGTAGCCTTAATGTCGATATGAACGATTTTCAACCTTGATTCCTCGTGAAGATATGCTAAACCCTTTGCTATTCCTAAGCTTATTCTCTTTCTTGTTAGCCAATCCAAGTTTAGATTGTGTTCATTGCGACCTAAAAGTAAGAAAGAGTCATATCATTATAGTCACTCTTATAATGTATATACATTGGTGTAAAATATTATGTTTGCAAATGGTGCTGCTATTTATAGCAAGAGAAAAGGTGAAGTCAAACGTCAGTTTCATTCATGGCTGGGTATGGAAAATTCCAAGCAAATGAATTTTTTTTTTTTGATGCATCAATTCTTCCCCAACTGCTCAAGTAGCCAATTTAAATCGCAAGACTCACTAATCATGACTAATTGAAATAAAAGCTTATTCCATTTCCAAATTATTATTTTTGTTATAAAGTTCAAAGAAGCATTCACACACTCATAATATTGCTTCTAACATAGCTATGCAAATCTCTTTGCTATCATACCGTTTAAGCTAATTTTCATTTCAAATAATATTTAAATCATTGAAGAATTGGTTGTTGATGTTTATAAGTAGTAATTAAAAAATAAATATTTTTTTAGAAGTCATCAGGATAACTGATATTCGTGACACTTAGGATTTTATCCCATTTTAAGTGATATTCAAATTGCCCTATCAAACGCACTTAATTATTGTAGTGCTAAATCATTCGGAATTAATTACTAAATTAAGTTATCAAACTGATATTTATTCTTTTAATAATAAAAAAATGCATGTATTTTATCAAAAAATTCTAGCAGCCTTGAGTTTATTGGAGTTGATGTTGGGAAAAGGAAATATCAACTCTAAGAAAGTCTATACACATGTTTATCAAGTCTACCAAATTTGCTAAATCTATTTTATTTATATTTTATTCAATATTTCTAATGTTTATTAATTTCAGTTCATTTTATTGCCATAGAAGTTATGCACATAATATTCATTGTAGTAAATTTTCCCTTTAGGTCACCATTATCAGTTGATATGTGATATTCCTTCCTATTGATATCCTTAAAAGATTTAGAATAGCTTTTCAGTGTAGTATTGAAATAGTTATTGAAGCTAATATATATATATATATATAATCTTAAGAGGTGGGTCTAGTTGGAAATGATTTTGACCTTGGTATCTCATGATCCATTAGATTTCAGGATTCATTTATGTGAGGTACAAATAATTTCTTGAAAGGGATGTGTGAGTACCAACTATAAAATACACACACACACATATTCAACAAGAGTAATATACTTACACCGATTTGTTACAGTGAATTACCTAACCGAATGTTTCTGATTAATTATTCATGCATAATACATGTAAGTGAAGGGCCCCACTTCTTTATTTATGCGATTTATTGTAATAAATTGTCAGACCTATTTTTTTTTTTCAGTTGAGTAATTCACTACAACAAATTGTTGAAAATATCATTACTCATTCAACAATAGATATTTGACAATCAAGATGGTCAAAGCTTGTAAATAGTTATATCAAGGTCTTAAAAGCTTGATTAAGCATGGAGACACCTATTGGTGTAATGTCTTGATGTATGATGATGACAAGCATTCATTTATACCGAATGGAACTGTTCAAAATTCTTTAAAATAAGCATGAAGAAGGCTTCTTCAAAAATTGCCATTCCAAAAGTTCAAAAAGGAAAGAAAATTACAAAGAAAAGCTGGAAGCTAAAGGGTAAATAATGAACCAAAACACGGTTCATCCACAGACTAATTCTTATTAATTTGAATAGAAATCGAGGAATTAATCCATTTTTGGATTTTCTCAAGGTATATATACTAATAATAGTATTAAAAACACTACAGTATTATATCACAATTGGTTTATAAAATTTTCAAATTTAAATTATATAGTCCAAATTAAATTTTTTGGCTCCATCTGTGTCTTACATACTGTGGAGACGTCTGTCTGGGTGTCCAGTGATAGCTCCTCAATGGCTTCAAACTTGAAATCCTCGTTCTCTGAACTAAGCTTCACTATTGGCGCTTGGACTGGGCTATTGCCCTCGATCATACTCACCACACAAGACATGGACGGTCTAAAGGCGGCAGATGCGTTGGTGCATAAAAGAGACAAGTTTAGCATCCTCATTGCCTCTTCTTTTGAGTAGTTTGAACCAATTCTTGGATCCACAAGTTCTAAAAGGTTTCCCTGCTCTTGCAGCATACAAGCCTGCAATTCCTCACCCAGACAAAATGCAACCTTTTTTTTTTTAATCCCATGTTCACTTTCCAAATGAGTAACTTAAAAACATGAAAAAGTATAGATATTTCAGGCCTTTTCAGAGTGCATTTGAAGTTATGTAAACAAGTGCAAGTTGTAGAGGTGTGAACAAAATACCATCTAATTAAAGAGGAAAAAACTCAAAAAGGAAAACTTTTACCCAATCAAGAAGGTGAACAAACTCCTCCTCTGGCTTGTAATTTGTAATGCTTTTCCCACTGACAGTCTCCAATAGAACTACTCCAAAGCTGTAAACATCTGATTTGTCTGTCAAATATCCTCTGGTTGCATATTCAGGAGCCATGTATCCTCTTCAAAAATGAAAATTAATGAAGAGCTTAAACAATTGTGCAATTAATAAGGTATAATTTGTAATCCATTACAAGTAAATAGAGAAATTCTTGTTATATATAATAATCTACTATGATCTCTTCAACTATTCTTGATAACCCTTTTAGTGGGTACCCAAAAAAAGGGTCTCTAATTTGGAAATCGCATATCGAAAGCGGGAGCAGTTACTACCCATTAAAGATACAAAGGCGGACAATACAGTCAACTACAACACCACTGCCGGTCTCACTTATGAAGCATCTTTTAGTAAGAGAATTTCTCATCCTATCGAAAGAGAAAAACAAAGAATTAACGAAATATCAATGTTACAACCCATCAAAATATAATACCAGTACAATATGACAATAGCAATCCATTATAGGGTTTACATAGGATCTGATGCCTCTTTGCGAAAGGAGATACAGATAGGTGATGGTTAACTAATTGTTAACTAAGTTCCATTTACAAACTATGATTATTTATCTATATCTTCTTCCAACAATACTTTATTTGTGTTCTAACACCAAGTTATTACCATTATACTAAGAGATTAGATGCAAATAAGAATAGAGTAATGATATCAAAAGAGTGGTTAAATATGGAGAGCTCGTTACTCTTGTCATGAGAGAGTTCTCTTAATAGCAGTACTCATAAAAATATAGAAGGTGGAAAAGTGAGAGAAAAACTTACATTGTTCCAGCAATTCTCGTGCTGATGTGGGTGTTCTCTTCTTCATCAAGCTTGGCCAAGCCAAAGTCAGATATCTTAGCATTTAGATCCTTATCAAGCAGCACATTGGTTGCCTTAATGTCTCTATGAACAATTTTCAACCTTGATTCCTCATGAAGATAAGCTAAGCCCCTTGCTATTCCCAAACATATCTTCTTTCTTGTTGGCCAATCCAGGTTTATCTGGTGTTCCACGCGACCTAGAAATAAGAAAGAGAGCATGTTATATCATAATAGTCACTCTTATGACGTATAAACAATGGTGTCAAAAATGATAGGGAAGTAACTACCAAAAAGTGCACGGCCAAGACAATTGTTCTCCAAGTATTCATATATTACCAACAACTGGTTTCCTTCAATGCAACAGCCATAAAGCCTCACAAGGTTTGGGTGTTGTAGGGAAGAGATCATGCCTATCTCATTGACAAACTCGCGATCTCCTTGCTTAGATTTGGAGGAAAGCTGCTTAACAGCGATTACTACACCATCTGACAAGACACCCTAAAATCAAGCAAAAATAATTTCTAATAATTAAATATAAAAAACAGATATGTGGAAAAAATTATTTTCCTTGTCGTTGCCACCCTGGCTCTAGGCATGGAAGCTTAAAACGACACATGACCTTAATGTTGCAAGATAGTTATGAAAATTTAATAACTTGCGTTAGCAATAACCTTGTAAACTGGTCCAAATCCTCCTTCACCAAGCTTGTTTGCAGGGTCAAAGTTACTGGTAGCAGCTTTGATCTGTTTTAGACTGAAAAATTTTGTTTGCAGATCTAGCTCTCGGACTTCTGTTTGACCCGTTTGTTTGCCTTTTTTCCCTCTTTGGGCTCTGCTTGTTTTCTTTGGGCTTTTGCCTTTGTATAGTAGTTCCCTTTCTGTTAATAAATTCATTTAGCAACCAAAAAAAAAAAAAAATGTTAAAAAGAAAAGTTCATCTTTCTTTTCCGATTTCCGTCCAATCATAAGGTTGCAATACTGCATAAATCATGATATTTTAGAGCCACGAATTCTTATCTTATATGATCATCAGCAGATACCTTTTCATGAAGTAAAATAAACATATATGGTTATTTTCATCATTACAATTTACATAGTTACAATTACATGTGCAAAATACAGATTGGCCTAATGTTTACCATGCATAAAGGTTCTTATTCATTGCAGCATCTATCTTATCCTTTAACAAAAAAATTATCTTTATGCATAGTTTGACTCATTTTACAAGCAATACCCTAAAGTTAGTATTAACTCCTACAAGATCTGCACAAGCAATAGATAGATTCTTTAGTAGTTAAAACATTTCAATCCATATTAAATTTCTGTCAAAATGCCCAAAGGGAGGACTGGTGGTGTTTCAGCAATTCCATTAAGCTAATCTTCAATGAAAGTACTTATGTTGTACAAGATAAAACATTTACCAGGACATTTTACAAATAAAGTTCAAACATCAAGCACCTTTTCCATGTAGTAACCCAACTTGCATTAGCAATCAAATAGTGACAAACAACATCACATGTAGTGTTTCTTGTGTTTTTAGATCTCACCTTTATCTTGGTCTTTCCCTCCTAAGTAACCTTTCACTCGAAGTACTAACAAAATCAACACAAGGAGGACCACACATGAAGCAGCCCCGATACCAACAAGAGCTCCAACAGGAAGTGGAAGTCCTGTATCAGTCTCCAAGCCTACAAGAAAGAGAAAGATGCTCTGGTAACAAGGGAGTATTAAAAAAGAGGCACACCCAGAATGAAAGATACACTTACTTGGTGTGACTGAAATAGCAGAGATAAGAGGTCCATATACCCCTCCATCAGGAATTGCATTGGTCCCTTTCCCAGACCAGTATAAGTGGATCTCCAGAGTGCTGCCACTAACATTAACATGATGTTCCATAGTGATGCCCTTGCCAGGACCTTTAGCTTCCTCCATAATGTTAAAATCCTTCCTAATTAGATTCCCCTGCAGAAGAAGTGAAATTAACACAAGCTAAACAAAAGTTAAATAACTTCTATTTTAGAGACCTAAAAAACAAAAAAAAAAGTAGCAAAGAAAAGAGAGACTCCTGAAAGCAATTGATGTTTATATGAAATAGTCAAAAAATTAACAAAGTCATGAATTGCACAAGAGCAACGCTGTTTGTGCAGATCGGCACAAGAAGCTTTTCAACTTGCATTAATATGTTCGTGGAAGTAAACCGGCTCTTACTCACTTGGATTGATACATCAAAAATCCGTTTCCCGAGGCTACTATAAGTCTGGTCATCTGAAAACATTATTTCAGCAAAGTGGAGACGCACTTTATAACTGCCTTTACGCAAGCAAAGGCCATAGTACTTAAGTGAAGTAGGGGCAAGGCGTGCTGTTCTGTATATCTCATCAGTCACGTTCAAAGAGAGAGAGCTATTTGCTTTGTAACTGGCTTTATCATTCTTCATGAAAACCCCTGTGCTGCTATAAGCCCATTTTTCTTCAGAAACATAAAAGTATGCTGGACCCTCTCTCGCTAAGTCTGCTTCATAATCATTCCCATCAAAGGTTGTCTTGCTTCCTCCACAATTGATAAACAAGGAATGGTCTGCATATGTTTTAATGGAAATCATGACATAATATTTATAGACAGATATGAGTTAATTATTATCACCAGATCATAATACCAGACCTGGCAGGTCTTAAACTTACTCTGGGCATTGTTTGAGCAAGGAAAGTCCTTCTTCAAGCACCAAGGAATATTTCTGTATGACTTTTAGGTTAGCTAACCCATATTACTTAGATATGCAAACTAAATGCCACTCTTTCTAGGTAAAGAACTTACATGTTGCTATCCACAGATGAGGACATGCTGGAAGCTAAATTCCTGTTCAACGATATGGAAAGGGGTGATTTGTAAATTATATGGAAGAATCAAATTGATATAGAAGTAATAATGAAAAGAAGCTTACAGGTTTGATGACCCGCTGCAACTGCCTACAGATGTATCTGTGAAGTTGTTGTAAGACAGATCGCTGCAACAGAATTGGCATGACATGCGTGGAATTTTCAATTGAATATTCTTATTGTCTTAAAGACGGTGTCAGACACATAATAATGGGACATGCATATGGGAGGTTGCAAATGCACCTAAAAGCACATTCAATAATTGAATTTTATTATATTGCTGCTTCAAAATTAGTGAAATGCCTATATTAGACATTATATTATACAGAGACATCATTTTATTCTAGAAATAAATATAAATATTAACTAATATGAATATTAGAAATGTCTGTGTCTTCCTATTTAAAATTTTGACACATCCTATGCGTGGATACATTCTTGTACCCGATACATGAACCCAAATCTAGATCTCATTAGCTTAGAGGTCAAGCTCAACCTCATCAAATTTCACAAATCAGAAAAACATGACATGCGTATACATGACATTTTAAAAGTCAAATAAAGATTGGTGATATACTTACATGTTGTCACTTCTTCTAAGGTGTAACCAGTCTGGTATTTTCCCATTTAGCGAGTTGTCGTTCAAAAACCTACATCCATATACATTATCATGTTTCACTCACCAGTAAAACAAAAATCATTAAGGTACAAGAACAAGAGCCAGCTTTAGAATATTAAAATTTTGTACACGTGACTTAATTCTAAAAACAATTACTTGCATGTAATCTAAATCCAAAGTCTGAAATGTCCATGGAATTGAACCTGTCAACCTGTTGTAGCTCAAGTCTCTGCAAGAGAAAAGTTCGTATGACTTAAATGTAACTCCACATTTATTCTCAAACACAGTTGTTTGAAACATAAATCTATAGTCTATAAACTACTAAAGGTGAGTAATTACCACAAAAGATAGTAAATAATCAAAAGAGTATTATTTCATAAATAAATAAAAACTTGAGCGTGATTGCAATCGCACTACGAATAAAATCATATCCAATGTGTTGATGCTAAAATCGGCTGGCTAAAGCCGATTTTAAATTTGATGTAATGTGGGCGTGCTAGAACCAACAATGTGGTTCGAGTGTGTGTTGTCAACTATAGTCTCTTTGAGAATATTGACTTTCAGGCGATTATAGGAGAAAGAGAACGTAGAACTCCTTCGTGGGTTCAAATTGCCTTTGTTAAATGGACTTTTAATAGTGAATGAATTAGTAACAATTTGTGAGAACGAAGGGGTTCAAATTGCCTTAGTTAAATGGACTTTTCACAGTGAATGAATTAGTAACAATTTGTGAGAATAAAAAGGGGATGAGAAGTAGATATAGAAAAAGATAGAGAGAAAGAAATAGCAAGATTGCTATATGAGGGAAGTAGAATTAGAGAGAGAGAGAGCTTGAGAAAGCAATAACATTAAAATAAAGATTCTGAAGGTGTTGGACCTCTTACAAAGCATGCCTTTACCATTATTTATAGAATAATACGTAAAACAAACTCCTACACTTAAGCATTCAAATTACATTATAACTCTATAACACAACCAAATGCAAATTCAAAATAAACTAATCATAGAGATAACCATAAATATTATAAAAGATAAATACTAAAACTACAATCCCTATCCTTAACTCTATTCAAATACTTATCCCACCTTTGCATGCCATTTGAATCCACGTAAAGAACACAACCCCATTTTAGTCCAAATTATATCCACGTCACTGGGCCACAACCGAATGTTCCAATTACAACCCCAACCCATTACCACATCATCCCAAGCTATTTTACCAAAATGGGTGTCAACGCAATGCTATTACGAAATCAAACAAATTGTAATCAAATTGTACATAGACCATAAGAGAATAAAATCAATTTCACGGATGTCCAAAAATGCCCTTAATATCTCCACCGATGTATTCTGTAATCTATACTGACCACATTACTTTTTCAGATAAATAATGAGAATTGACAAAGAGAATATACTATAAAATTACCACCACTTCGGAAATTAACATTAGAAAAAGGATTTCCTTCTACGCATACTTTGGTACTTTATTCAGTAAATATTCAAACCTTGGGAAAAGAAAATTAATCAACACGTTAAACTAGCAATTGATAGCCTAATGTATCAACAACTAAAAATAAATGAATGATGTAGGCTGATGACAATAAAAATTCAATTCATTTTTTCATCCTATCAATCATTAAAATTGTAATGTTTCCAATTTTTACCATTTTTCATTTACTGGAATTTTCTAATTTTCGAAGGTATTTTCGTATTTTCTCATTTTGCGTGCTGGACACCGTGATTGTTGTAAACGAGGGTAGTGTTATGGGTCCCTTGCATATCATGTATCATTATTTTATATTCATTTACGTTGTTGTAATTTAAATAGTATGGTTGCAATTTAATTGGATTACATACATATATATAATAAAAGATGAGATTTTTTTCATTGGTGGGACCCACCACCAATAAACCACTTTAATTGGCCAAGAGGCCATTTCATGGCCTCAGTTTCTCTCTCTATCTCATGTCTCTCTCTCTCTCCTTCTCTTCTCTCATTTTTCTTTTTCTTTTTACACAAATTCAAGGCTTGATTCTAGCCTTAACCTTTTGGAATTTGATAGTGCCACTTGAGGCAAAGTTCGAGAGCTCGTCGAGATCTTCGATTTGATCGGAGCCAAGTCCCGTTTGGCCAACCTTGGATTTTAGAGTTTTGGGGCATTTCTAAGGCTTTTTCTTCAAATTGAGGTAAGGGTTTCTAATATACAACTTCTTTGATTTTTGTGAGTTAATCCCCACTAAATTGTTGTATAGCATGCTTAATTTGTGTTGATTTCTTTTAAAATGACTTATTTGTTGTATATGAAGCATGTGACTATGTGTTAGTTGATATTGTATGAAACAGCATGCTTAAGTGGTAGTATTCCATGCCTATTGAATTTATATTGCTAGATTTTGCAATATGGAAGCATGTTGATTATTTTTAAGAAATTCCTCCAAGGCTTGTTATATAGTGAATGTTTGACTTGTATAGTATGAAATTCTCTCTTGACATATTATTGGAAAGCATGAGGCTTGTAATGTTTCCAATTTTTGCCATTTACCAATTTTTGGAATTTTTAGATTTTTGGAGGGTATTTTCGTCTTTCCTCGTTTTGTGTGCCGAATACCGTGGAGTGTCTCGGTTGTGTCTGAGAGTTGGTTGGGGCGTTTCATTGAGTTCAGGGCTCTTTGAAATGCAGGGGTGGTCATGTTGGCATTTTCTCTCTTCTCCCGTATCTCTCTACCTTCCCTTCTTGTTCTAGATTTTTTCTTTTCTTTCGGGTTCCAAATTTTAATCTTGGTATCTCTCTCAATTCTTGGTGTTTTTAAGTGCCGTTCGTGACAAATTGAAGCTCACGATGAGATCTACGATTTGATCGGAGCAAATCCTCATTTGGTGCACCTTGGAATTTCGGATTTGGGGCTAGGAATTGGACAATTTTTGGGGCTTTTCTCTCATTTGGGGTAGGGGTGTTCTAATACATGATTTCTTATGCCTTTTGTGAGTTAATTCTTTAATTGCATGCTTAATTAATTTAAGTTCTTGCAAACTGTTTAAATATTATATTTGGAAGGTGTGTCTATATGAAAGTTGATATAATGTGTATAAGCATGCCTATGTGTAATGGAATTTGTGTTTTGTATGCCTAATTAACTTGAATCCTTGCAAGTTGCTTATGTGTTGTATATATGTTGAAGGGAAACATGATTCTCTATTTTAGAGATTTAAATTGCAAAGCATGTGAGAAATTCTATGGTTGAATTGACGAATTGAAGCATAAAGCATTCATGCATCCATTGGGAAAGGGAAATGGAAAAAATGTTTTGAAAGTAAATAAAATGATTTTGGGTAAATGTTTTGAAAAGTATTTGCGAAAACCCGAACGCCTAGGAAGCGCCTAATGGTCCGTGGTGTTAGTGTGGTCTAGAAGGGAGTATGGTTGAGATAACTAGGCCAGATTCGACGCCTTTGAGGTGCCTTGTGGTCGTGGATAGTTAGTCAACCCTTCATTTGTGACATCTTGGAAGTGCCTTGGGTCGAATTACACTAACGGTTTGGAAGTTGAAACGGTATTGTTTCGGAAATGGGAAGCGACATTACATGGCATGGCATTGCATTGGCATACATTGTATATTTGGTGGTTAGACGACTTGCGTATGTATTTGTTGATTATTATCGTTACTTTGCTTGTTTTTCCATAGATTTGATTCCGTTCTCTCGTATCCTATTCATTGTATGGATTCACGGGGTCATAAGAAGTGTGTCTTAGACACTTCCTACTGAGCTTATTGTCACGGGCTTAGAGTTTCAGCACCACTCTAGCTGCTCCCGTGCGGTACCAAGACGTTGCTTCCACTCTCGCAAGTACTTGGTCAGCCTAACTCCCGTGCACACCTTAGCCAACACACTCCCTTCGTGCGCTTACCAGTGTTGTAGTTGCCCCCGCCCTCTCCTCACTTGGCTTGCACACTCACACACACTAAGGCACTTAAGTTGGCAAGGAAAGAACACTTCTATTACTTCAAAGAATGCTTTGTACAAGACTAGCACTCAAGCTCTCTACAAGGCTCTCAAGACTCGCTCTAGGACTTGTTGGTTGCAAAATGAAGTCCTACTCCTATTTATAGGCATGCCCATCCCTAATGGATGGCTAAGATGCATTCTAACCAACGGTAGAGATTGATTCTCTAGAATCTTCTTCCACCTTCTACACATCTCCATACATATCTACAACATTCTAGAACCCTCCATACTACTCCACACAATTCTGGAGAATTCTAGAACCTTCCACACACTTCTAGAATATACTACACATGTCTAGAATATTCCACACAACTCTAGACTACTCCGGAAGACTCTAGAAACTCCACTTGCCATGCAACATCCTCCTCAGCGTCTGCGTGTCGCCTACGTGGCACAACCTCTATAGGCGGGGCGTGACATTCTCCCCCACCCATTTCCGTGACGCCCTCGTCATGGTTTCTTCAGCTGACTCAGCCTCTCGCAAGTCATCAGCACTTGCGCATATGTCCTTGGCCCAAACGTACGAGCGCCCTTTGGGAGATGTGAAGTCCTCACGAGCTCCATCGTGTTGACTGCCACCTCTGGACTCTCCTTCCTGCCCACGAGCGGCACCATGCATGCGGCCTTGCCTTCCTCGCCTCCAAGTATCATCAACGCACCAAGGCATGGTAGTGGCGCGGCGTTGTTCCTGTCCATGAACTCCAGCCCCAGCACCATGTCGTGGTCGTCCATCTCCGCAACCTGGAAGTCAGCCTTGCCCTTCCATCCTTGCATGCATAGCTCCACCTCCTTGCACACTCTACTCACGCATGCCTCCTCGGAGTTAACAGCCTTAATCTAGCCCTCCGTCTTGCGCATCTCCAAGCCAAGTCGTTGCGCCTCCTCCGGGCGAATGAAGTTGTGTGTAGCGCCCGTGTCTACCAACGCTTGCACGGCTTTGCCACTAACCTGCGCATCCACATAGCGCACCCTAGCTACCTTCTTTACCTTGCCCTTCTTCTTGGTGTCATACGCTATGCTGCTCAGCATCTGCATAGCCCCCATGCACCTATCTTCATCGCTGCCCGCATCGTCCACCCTGCCCTTGCCCTTATCCTTCCCAAGGGCGCTCATGGTCTTCTTGTTGGGGCAGTGTCGCAATATGTGCGGCCCTTCGCACAAGTAGCACTTCGGCTCCCACTTACCCTTATCGCGGCGCTCCCATTTGCCACTAGCCTTGGACC